TGCTCCTGGAGATGACACAGCCCAGAGGGCCCATGTAGATTCCAGGCTAATGCACCAGCCCCAGTGTGTACCCTAATAGCAACCTGCCACAGGGGAGCAGGTCTCCTCCAGCAGCCCGGTAAATCATCTCTGACTCCCGTGGAAGCTATTAGAGCAGCTCTTGAGAGTGGGTGCAGAATGAGAATGAGCAGGTGAGGCAGCACAGCCTGCAAAAGGCTTCTGCCCACCTTCTCTCACTTTGTCAGCATGACAGGTCATCCACAGTAATGCTGCCCATTTTATAGGTGGGGAAATTGAGAATCAGAGAAGTGAAGCAACTTGCCCTGGATCACACAGCCAGCAAGCAGCAGCTCAGGGGTGAGAGGCCAGGTGTTCCTGGTGAAGCTGCTTTACAGGGTCAATGCTGGGATGACAGGCTCATCTTTTCCCAGTCTCACGGGGGCAACCATCAACTGATACAAGCTTTCTGCAGCGTGGTGGGAGCTCCTGGTTTTGTTTGCAAGGCTGAAGGGAAGCTTATGAAATATGCATGTGAGTCTGTTTTTCAAAAGGGTGCATGTAAGAGGTTCTGCAGCCCTGGAGAGGGGTGGCTCAGGGTGCCCGGGGAGGAGTGGAGCACATGGGAGGTGCCCCCTCTTCGTCCTCAGGTGTACTCTGGAGCCCCCACAACACAGGCCTCACTGCACTACTGGTGGGCTTGGCTCCAAGGGTTTTTTTTTTTTTTTTTTTTTTTGCATCAGGGACTGAACCCAGGGACACCTAACCCCTGAGCCACATCTCCAGTCTTTTTTTGTTCCGAGTCAGAATCTCACTAAGTTGCTTAGGGCCTCACTAGATTGCTGAGGTTGGCTTCAAACTTGTGATCCTCCTGCCTCAGCCTCCCAAGTGGCTGGGATTACAGGTGTGTGCCACCACGCTCAGTGCTCTAAGGGTTTTGTTATAGGTGCAGTTTTTATGTCCCCTCTAAAAACAAACATGTCAAATTCCTAACCCCCAGCACCTCAGAGTGTGTGAGCTTATTTGGAAACAGGGTCATTGTAAATGTAATTAATTGTGTTGAGGTAAGGTCATATTGGAGTGGGGTGGACCCCAGAGCTGATGTGACTGCTGTCCTTAGAGGAAGACAGACACAGGGAGGAGCTGCTTGGTGAGGAGGCAGAGGCTGAAGTGCTGCCTACCAGCCAAGGATCCCCCCCAGGAGCTGAGAAGGAGGAGAAGGGTCTCACCTAAATTTCAGGGGGAGCATAGCCCTACCAACATCTTGATTTTGGAATTCCAGCCTCCAGAATTGGGCAAAAGTTAATTTCTGTTGTGTTAGCCATACAATTCATGGGGCTTTGTTGCAGCAGCAGCGCTAGGGAACAGCTTCAGGCCCTGTCAGGCAGGGATGGAGCCATATCACTCTGAGGGGACAAGGTAATACTGGAGCCCAGGTGAAGGACTGGGGTGTGAGGGGAAGAACAGCTCTCTTTTACCACCCTCACAGTCCCCTGGGGTGGCAGAGAGGAGAAGAGAGAGTGAAAAAAGGCCATGGCTTTCTTGTTCAGATCTCCACAGGCGCCTGGCTTCCACATCAATAAGGCTCTCTCTCCCTGCCAGATATTTACCTCCGGAGTGCAGTGTTCACGGCCCTAAGAACACAGGGGCTCCTGATCTCCACTGTGGCCTCTCCTCCCAGAGGGGGTTTAGCCCATGCATGCAGAGGCAGGACAAAGCCAGGGCTGAGCGGTGGGTGTTGGGTGTCTATGTTTCCTGGACTCCCTTAGAAGCACCTGTCTGAATACCAGCTGCTTACTTTTCTTCGCTGGCCCTAGGACATTCTCATTTATTTGGTCACCACTGGACCTTCTTCCAGAGCAGAGCAGGACCCCTGACTTGCCCAGCAGTCTTTGCTGGTTCTGTGCTCATGTTGGGCAAGAAGTGGCTGCTGGGACACCATGGAGAAGTGGAGGGGGTTGTCCCCTCCCCCGAAGATGCCATGGCTCCAGAGGTGGCTGGATGGGACGGGTATGCACAGTGCTTTGTGCTTCTTGGAGGGGTAGCAGAGGAAGCACTTTCCTGGATACCCTGGAGCTGATGGGGCTCCCGGGCACAGGGAAGCTGCTGGCTGATGGGTTCAGGTAAGAGGCTTGGAAACTGACCCCAAGGGCTTCTTGTTTCATTCCTATCCTGCAGCTGCAGTTGCTACTAAAATGACCGGTGAACACGAATCTGAGTGTGCACACAGTCAGCTGCCTGCAGCTCGCCTCCTGCACCAGACCACAAATGGCAAAGGCACGAACTTGTCACTTTCTTTCAGGCACCAATGTCTCTTAAGCTGCCTTCTTTCCCTGCCAACCTGCAGTAGTTCATGGTGATCAATGACTGTTCCATCACTTTTGAGGCACAGGTAATGAACTTGTTGGCTTTTATTTTCAAGCCACTGTAAATCATTTCTTTACTGAGGGTTGATTTTTTTTTATTTGACAGCCTTTTGATCAGGTGGCATATGATTTTATTTTTCCTTCTGTGGCACAAAATAATAAGTATTTTAAAAGGCAAACAAACAGTTATGGAAAACACGGTACCTCCAGCCTTTCTTCTTGATGATGCTCCCCAGGATGACCTCAGCCCTGGAGGGAAACAGATGATGTCTTAGGGCTTAGGGTCCTGGAGGAACAAGCACCAACCCAACACCAGAGCCACCCGGTGCCTCCCTGTCCCCCAGATAGCAGCTGCTCTTGGCTGGAAGCGCAGCTCCACTGTTTCTGCCTGCACCTGCAGAATCCTGCTCCAGAGGCACCTGCCAAATCCTGGTAGAGACTGCCTCAGCCCGGTGCTAAAGGACACTGGAGCCACTTGGCAGTTGGGCGTTTTTTCAGCCAGAGGGCATGCATAAATGTCCTGCTTGGCAGGATCCAGGGGGAGGCAGGGCTTTCCCCTAACTGCTGCAGAACATCAGTTGTGTCCTGGAGGACATGGACACCTCATTTTAGATGGCCTAGACCGGAAATGCTGGCTCCCTGGTGGCTTTGGAGGATAAAGCAAACCCTCATATGAGCTTAGCTGTCCCCAAGGCCAGGCTGCAGGTGCAGTGGCTCACATGAGAGTGTCCTGGGTCCCAGGCAAACTTGTCATGTGAGCAACATATAAGGAGACATGACAAGTGTCTGTTCTGTCCTCAAGGCTGGGCTATGGAGAGGTGCCCTGGAGATACCACACTGCCCTCCCTTCTCCTCGCCAACCTGGGACCAAGACCCAGGAAACAAAAACTTGCTTCCCTGCTTCTCCCAATAAGACCCCCTGTGCAGGGTGTTGTGAGGGGGGTGGGTGGGGTTAGAATCGGCTCCTCAGCAGGCTACAGAGGGAGCCATGCAAGCTACCCGCCTTGACTGCAAGCTCAGTCTGTAGTGGACACAGCCTGCACTGAATTGTGCTGCAGGTCATCCCTGTCTCTTCATCTCTCCTGTCTGCCTTCCCCACCTGCTGTGGCAGCCTGACAAGACGCAGCACAGCATGAGACCCTCTCTGAGCTCCACACTGAGAGTCAATCAGTATGAATCAGAACGGCCATCCTCACAGCAGGGGTCAAGCGGGACCCTCTCCTGCCCAAGAAGAAAACACTGGGAAGGGGATGCAGGAGGGAGTATGGCCTTACCACTTTGTTCTCTCCTTGGATTCAACAGAAAACAGCAGGGATGTGGGTTCTGAACCTCCCTGAGGGTCCTTGAACATAGATCTCTCCTTGGACAGGAGGTGACTGAAAGTGCTCGGTGGCCCTGCTGTGATTAGAGCCTGACTGGGGAGCCTCTGCAGGTGGCCTAGCCCTCCCCAGGGCAGGGAATGAGGCCTGCAGGAGACCACGCTCCTCTAGTCCTCTCAGGATGGCACAGCTGTTCACACTGAGGATTTCCTTTCTTTGGTTGTGGGGGTTGAACATGATGACCACTCCAGGAGGCCCAGGCCCCAGGTCTGTTCTGACATGTGCTGGTTACGCTGGTACCTGGAGGCCTGGCCTGTGGGCATGCCGCCCAATCTATTCTGACTTCTCAAGCCCTGCCCCAGAGCCCCACACCAGCACTGGGTTCCCAGGGAACCCCACTAGTCTGGCTGCTCAAAAGAAGAGGCTCTCTGCAGCCTTGTCTGCAGCTCTGAGAAGCCTCTTGCACAAGGCGTTGGTTTCTTGGCATCTTTGGGGAGTCTGGCTTTGAAGTCTGATCTGCCTGGAGTGCCTACATTGCCCAGGCCTACAAACAGGAAGAGCATCCCTGCTGCCAGGCAGGCAGGGTGTCCCAGCTTCCCTGGGGACTTCCGAATCAGGAGACATGGCCACAAGGCCAGCTTTGGAAACAGCCCTTGGACGCGGCTTTTTCACTTCCTGGCTCAACTATTCTACTATCTCCTGATCTCCACCACCACCACTCAGGTGCCCGCCACCTCTGCCCCTTTGTCGACCACAGCAGGTGCTGACTGTCCACCTTCCATCAGGTCAGTTTTCCACACAGGGATGGTTTGGGTGGGCAAGAGGTCCAGGGGTGGTCAACTTCCCAACCACAGTGGAGAGAGCAACACCCTTCTCATCAGCACCCGGAAAAGGCCTGGGCAGGCTCTCTGGGTGCCACAGATGCCCTTGAGGGACACAGGAAGGTACCAACTTACTTTCCAGCTGCATAGACCTCGGCTGTATCGAAGAGATTAACGCCACTCTCGTACGCGATTGTCATCAGTCGTTCAGCAACCTGCAAGGGGACACAGAGGCCAGTGAGAAGCGCCCAGTGTTTTCCAAACCTGAGAAGCAGCTTGAGACCCTTCATTAGGAGCACCCTGGCGTCTCACCCACCACCTGTCATTCTCAGTTGGAAAGAGAATAAAAGCAGCCCCAGGCATGGGCAATGTGGGGGACAGCCCTCAGAGGTAGAGTGGGCAGTATCCTCAAGCGGGCTGGGAGCACAGCCAGGTCGGCACATCTGTGCTTCCCCCTCTGCTGGACAGACCTGGTACCACAACATCTCTGTGGTCTGATCTCTGACAAAGAGGGTCACATGCACCACTGTCAACTCCAGTCCTCAACTGCTCTCTCGGAGCCCATAGCTTTTGGCAGCTGATGCCTCCTGATCTGAAATCTTGTGACTTTCTCCCTGGAGGCTCAGTGGAATTGGCTGATGAACCAAAGGTCTGACAGGGGCATGACTAATCAAACTCCCACACCCAAGTTCAGCCAAGCCCCAGGCAGCCTGCGAAGCCTACTGAGTGGACACGGAGAGAAGGAGCCATGTCTGACTCGGGGTCAGCTCCCCACCGCCCAGCCTGCAGGACATCTGGAGCTCCTGCGTCCTCTGTGCCACTGACCACAGTGGCAATGGCACAGGGGAGCAGAGGGACAGCTAGACACAGCTTTGGGACAGCTGCAGAGGTGAGGTGGCACCCCACAGTCGAGAGGGGCCATTTTGCTGATCAGTCGTTGGAGGAATTTCGCATCTAGGGATGATTACAACTGATTTTTCCATTTTGGCTTTTGAAGGTGGGCTCCAGTTGCTTCATCAGCATTTCCAAGATAAACTGTTTTTCTGTTGTTTTGAAAATTGGCCTATAGGAAGATTGTTATGCTAGCAAAGTGGAATCCGTGCAGATCCTTTAGCACAACAGCAACAAATGTGCTACTACTGGTTGTAACTTGTCACTGTACTTACCATGACTAGAGGTTAGAAGTTAACAACTATGTTTTTTCCCATTATGACTGTTTTAGAAATTACCGCGCTTGCTGTCTGTGTTACCCTTGTATCACCTGATGTATGGTGGATTATTGGGAAGTGTATGACTTATCTAAGGAGGAATTTTAAGATAAGAATGAGAATTCTTGGCCTAGTGATGTGGAGGGACTTCCCAGCCACAGCGTCTGAAGACCTCAGCCCTGGGCTCACCCTGCACACCCTGGCCTGGAGAGCCGGAGCCCTGGCAGCAGAGAGCAGGCCCTGTGAAGGGGACAGCAGAGACTGGAGACAGCCGGTTGCCAACTTCAGGCCTCCCTCCCTGCTCGCTGCCACCCTGGGACCTGCAGCAGACTCTGCCATGTGTCCTCTGGCCCTCCTTCAGGAAAGACAGGATCATCCCCTGATGCTGGAGCGCTTCAATGGTCAGCCTTCTCTCAAAATTGTACTAGGTGTGAGCCACCTTGCCCAAGGTCAGGCCTGCTTCCAGTCAGCCTCCGTCCACTTGCCTGTTGGTACAGGGACGTAAAGGCCCAGTCCTCTCGCTTCAACCTGGGACCACTCTGCTGACTGGCTCAGCTCGTGGGGTTGGCTAGCCACTGTCGGTCCATCCCCTCTGTCCTTCCCCCATCCTGCTTCCTCCCCTGCCCTGAGTGGGTCCCCAGAACATTTAGGCAGCTGTCCTGTAGGTCATTGCTAACTTAGAGCCCACTTCCTAGGGACCCCATGATTCAAGCCCTCCATGGAGATCTGAGCCCAGTACTGGGAGCTGGTAGTCAGATAAGAATGTGCAGCTGAGACGCCCCAGATCTGTTAAATTACACTAGTGACTTTGGGAGCTGTGGGGAGAGGTCCCTGTTCCCCAAGCTCCTCCTTAGGAACAACATGGATGTAAAACTGCCTCTGCAAAGGGCTTCTTTTGGCCAGGTGGCTGCCTAAGCACTTTGAGACACTCTCATTAAACCTAACCAGATCCTGCTGAGAAGGGGCATCTAGTGACAGCTGTTGGTAAATGTAAAAGTTAGTAACTCAAGTTAGTCAATGCAGAGTGGGACCTGGTCCCACTGAGTGTATCCACTCAGATACACTATCTCTGATTCTTTGATGGCCCTGCAGGTGTACATATACTATTCCCCACTCCTTAGTGTTCTTGCGGATATATACTATCCCGACTCCTCAGTAGTCTTGACTCTTTGCTGGTTCTGCAGGTATATACTATCCTGCAGGTATATACTATCCTGGTGTTGTTCAGGTATATACTATCTCCCAATCCTCAGTGTTCTTGCAGATATATACTATCCTGATTCCTCAGTGATCCTGCAGTTATATCTATCTTGACTCCTTGATGGTTCTGCAAGTATATACTATCCTGACTCGTTGGTGTTGTTCAGGTATATACTATCCTGACTCCTCAGTGGTCCTGCAGGTATGTAACTATCCTGACTCCTTGTTGGTTCTGCAGGTATAGACTATCCCCACTCCTCAGTGTTCTTACAGGTATATACTATCCTGACTCCTCAATGTTGTTGCAGGTAGGTAAGGAAGGACCAGAAACACACTAAGGTGTTGAACTCAGGAGGAATTTTTGCCACTCAGTGCCTGCATACCTCATGCCCTGAAGCCAATGATAATAACATCACCTTGGTAAGCACTGTTCTGAATGTGTAAATGATGAGCTAAAGGAACTTTACAGTAAATACAATTCCTATAGCTGCCCTTGGCCTGAGTGCCATTCCCTACCAGTCAGAGGTTAAGCAAGCGTCTGATGGGCATGATGTGCTAGTCCTTTCCGTGGACTTCCAGGGCAGCATCACTGTCCCATTCTCTGTAGAATGGACAGAGAGGTTGGTTATCTTGCCCACACCAGGGTGACCAATTGCCTGGTTTGCTTAGGACCGAGAGCCTTTCTGTGATGTGATCTTTCAGTGCTAAAACTGAGAAACTCGTGTGCCGACTGGGGCCAACGGGTCACCCTAGTTGAAACAGGAAAGGAATAAGTCAATAAAACAAACACACGCAACGACAGCAGTGAAGTCTTTTCATAAACTAATATTAATTCTAAACTGTCTCACTTTCTGTTGAGCCTGCTTGTTTAATAGATTGACAATCTCAAGGACTATTAATAGGCTAAATGTACACACAAGAAGCAAGATGAAATTGAGTCTTCACCATTTCCTGGGCTCTGAGCATCATCCCTGTAAAATGTCGGGGTCCCAGGAGCAGGCTTCTCATTGCACGGCCCTCTGCATTTTCCTTTCATCAGCATAGTAGATGCGAAAATTAACTTACCTCATCTGAAATCTGACCTCCAAATGTCACCCATGTTCCTAGAAAAGATTAAATATTGGCACATTATTCCTAATAATTTCTAATAGTGTACATGAGAGGAAACCCCATGGCGGGGCTATCTCGGGGAGGAGTTGCACGGGGAGTTCTCAGGGTGCCGGGGTGAGGGCGCATGCAGGTGCATGTGGACTGCTGTCTGATCTCTCCTCTCACTGGGTGTCAGAGGGACCTGCAAGCCCCGGGGGAGGGGGTCCTTTTCTTCACCCCAGGTGCTCATGGCAGCCCTGTCCTCAATGACGTTTCCTCTTTTGCTCCAGGTTCATGACTGCCACTGTACAAGAACCCTCCTGTCACGCCCACCCTGGCCACACACCATTCTTGCTTCTGCTTGGCTCAAAGCCACCTGAAGGTGAAGGTGAGACCTTGGATTACGCATCTGCCCTGCTTTACCTCCAATGAGGGGCTCTGTCTTCCCTGTTGGCTTTCTGAAGGAACCCCTCTGATGTCTTTCCGGTTTTCACTTGCACGGCCCAGAAGGGGTCGCTCTGCACCTTCTCTGTATGACTTGCTCCTCCTGAATGGAACTCTCCCCTGGCTTGGGTGGGGCAGAGGTACAGCAGGGGTGAGCGTGGGGGGGGGGGCAGGGCAGGACAGGGCAGGAGGCAGAGCCATCATGCATGTGTAAAGCGAGAGAGGCAGACGCCTCTGAGCAGGCTCAGCCACACCAGTCTGCCCCCTCCATCCAGGAGGTGGAGGTTCACAATGCCCCCACTGACAGTCCTGGGGCGGCAGAGGAAGGGAGTGCTCTACCTAGACAGATGGCTCTCAGAGAAGCCTCTTAGATGGTGGCACCTTGGTGGAGTCTCACAGGAGCTAACTGGATGAAGAAGGAAGGGGCGGGCATTTCAGATAGAGGCCAGGGCTTGGGCAAGACCAGTTGGGAGTGCCCTGGAGTGTGCTGGCAGCCAAGGGGCAGAGGGGCTGTGCTTGGCGACCTGTGGGAACTGCTGTGAGCTTTTTACATTTCATAACAGTGGTCATTGCTACCAGCACAGAACACCTTTCAAACACCAGGCCGTGTGCTAGGAGATGCTTTTCTGATCATTTTGACACACTCACAAGGCAGGCTTACTGTCCACGTTTCCAGATGGGGAACCCTCGTATGTGAGTTAGCCAGGCCACCCAGACACACCTGGCTTCAGAACGCTGTCATCACCCACAGGCCCCATTAGAAGATCCCCCCCCTTAATCACGATGCTCCACAGAAGTGTGTTGTCCTGATCACACCTTTTCCCCTTGGTCCTCAGGGGACCCAAACAAAGGTAGGGTATAAAATGATTTTGCCACTAAACTCTGCAGCCCCAGAGGTTGCAAATGGGCAGCCAGAAACCACACTCAGTTGCAAGGCTTGACTAGATGGAGTGACCCACTTGGCATTTTAATAAACCTTGAGTGAGTCACCAAGGTTTAAATACTTAGGAGACTTTTCTTAAGCTTTTGATTCCCAGCGTCTCTGGACAGCAGAGGATCTGTGTCCCCACGATGCTGGCATGCTCCCCATCGGAGCCCCCATTATGTCTTCCCATCGTTTTCCCGACACCGAAATCAGTGTACAAATCTTGTACACTGGCAGTCATGAACCTGGAGCAAAAGAGGAAACGTAGACCATAGGTAGATCACCATTTTTCTTACTGTAAAATTAAGAGGAAAATGAACTTGTGGATCTAAAAAGCAGAGCTAAGCATTTAATGAACTAATATGAGAGCCCTTTCTTCCTGTGGAGGAGAAGATCATCCAAACAAAGAACGTCTGCATAGAAAAACTATGTCCTAAAGCACTACAATCAAGCCAGCCGTGAGTGGTGCACAGGAGGGATGGGATCTGAGGACTTAATGGACTGAAGAAATGGCTGTTGTTTTTTTTTTGAATGAGAATAAAATAAGCGCACTGCTGTGAAATGCGGCTGTCTATTAAATGAAAAAATTGCCTGGGCGTCAAAACCTTTTTACAGAAAACTCGTTCATAAAAGAGCCTCTTTGGAATTCTGCAGAAATTGTGTACAGAGTATAAACAGGCATTTGCAGATGTTAGTATAACCAGCATCTTTGTGGCTTGGCATGTTAAAAATATAAATAAATTGAGAACTTTCAGGACAAGTTAAGTTATTGGTGGTATTTTTTAGAGCAGCAATTAAGAACGTAGATATAAAGGACCACACACAGCTATGTGGTGTGGTGAGAGTTTTGAAAGGGTCCAAGAATTTGTGGACAAGGAGCTTATGAAAGGCAGAGCCTCAATAAGTGGCTTACTCTGATGAAAAGGTTGTAGACTGTTCAGGAGCAGAACACACTGGGAAAGTCACCATGTGTCACCATGGACGGGCCTGGCAAGGGCAGGTTGCCATGGACCAAAGAGGCACATTTTGTTGGACTCTCTACCCAAGTCCATTAACTTTTTTATGCATCAGGAATTGCTTTGAGCTAAAGAGCAAAAAATGGGACAAGCTACGGATGCAGTAATTAATGCCACAAATCGGCTATTCTTCTGTCTTCAGGCAAAATCAGGTCAGTGTTTGCTGAATGAATCTGCTGACTTGACCTGCAGCTGCTGCAGAGGCTTTTAAACTGCTCGTTCTCTCAAAGAAAGAGTCCTGTCTCCATGGAGCCACGAAGACCGGGCTCCATCTGCTCTGCTTGCCACGTTACAACTCGACTGGATATTCTGAGTATTTTCCTGCAGGGACATTATCAAGTGTAGGTGCTCCTTGACTTACAATGGGGTTATGTCCTGAAAAATCCAGCACAACATGAAAATATCAAAAAGGCATTCAGTGCACCTGACCTGCCAAACCTCAGCTCAGCTGCATGGTCCAGGGCAGAGCACTTTTTCTTTGCGATTAGGTGTTTCTCCAGGGGCTGAGCCACCACCATGAGAGCATGGCCGGCACACTGCTGGCCAGGGAAAGATCAAACTTCAACATCTGAATTACAGGAGCAGGGGACAGAGCTTGGCGGTAGAGTGCATGCCCAGCATGCACAGGGCCCTTGTTCTCCCCAGTACTGCCAAACTAAGCAGCCTGAATCCTGGCTTCTACTGAGTGTGCACAGGTTCGCACCATCCATCACCAAGTTGAGAAACAGTGAGTCTCAACCCCCTGAGCCAGAGATAGCCATGTGCCTGAGCAGTCACTTGCTCCTCTCAGTTCTGACCAAACGGAAGCTTTGTTGAGGAATAATCTGGTCCCCTTTCCTACATGCGTTATGGTCACCTGAAATCCATTCTCTAAAACTGTGTTTTTGAAAACTGAATCCGAAAAATGTCTCTCATTTCAAACTTTGTGAAAATAAATTTTCATTACTTAGCTTACCTTTCATAATTGATTTTGGGGGTGGGGGTTCCAGAGATTGAGGTCAAAGGCACTCGACCACTGAGCCACATCCCCAGCCCTGTTTTGTATTTTATGTAGAGACAGGGTCTCACTGAGTTGCTTAGTGCCTCACTTTTGCTGAGATTGGCTTTAAAGTCGTGATCCTCCTGCCTTAGCCTCCCAAGCCGCTGGGATTACAGCCACTATCCCAGCAAATAACTGGTTTTTGATAGGGCTATGATTTGAAAGTATGAAGCCATGGTACAAAATGATTTTGAAGACTAAATAGGACAGATGCTCAGAGTAGACTTTATGCACATCTCGGAGGGCGTTCTCTGCAAGAGCCTTTAACAATGATTTCATTCTCACTGAAGAAAGCCCATGTCTAGGGTCAGCTCTGTTCCAAAGTTAACCTGTAAAAACCCCTCCCTGCCCTGGTTTCCACACATTACGTGAAAAAATAGAGCCTGAAAGAGTGCTGTTTCAGAAGAAAATGTTATGCTGAAGCAGCAAGGAATTATGAGAGAATGGCATAGTAAATATTAAATATCTTTGTTTTTCAGTTAAATTTAAAACTGTTAATATAAAGTAAGATCTGAATATCATATTTATTTACCTTAAGTTACAGGGATGGTTTGAATGGTTATGTTCCTCCAAAAGTTCATGCTCTGGGAACTTGGTCCCCAGGTGGTGCTGAGGACAGTGGTGGGACTTTCAAGAGGGGGGACCTCATGGGAGGTCCTTAGAGCTCTGGGGATGTGAGGTTGCTCTCTTGTGACGCTTGAGTAATTCTCCTGAGATGGTTGTTATAAAAGGAGCAAGCCTGGCCCCTCCCACCTTCTCTGCTTCTGTCTGAGATAGAATTGCTTTTGTATTTCTATACACTCTCCTGCCCAGGGGTGCCACTATCCACAGCCCTCATAAGACCCCAAGCCCATGCCATCCCACCTATACCCAGCTCCACCTGATCTTGGGAGTGACCCTGCAAAACTGTGAGCTAAATCAACCTCCTTTTCTTCATATGAAGCCCTCCTTAGGTATTTTGTTACAGTAATGAAAACCTAGTAAGTTCTGTAACAGGGTCCACTTCATGCTTTGAAGCACCCTTACTGCTCTGCCATTGCAACTTATTTTGAAACTGACTTGGTTTTTTCCCCCTTCTCTTCTTCCTTTCTCCCCTCCCTACCCTTGGGGGAAGCAAGATTACCCTTCCTGCCATCCTAGGCCGAGTTATCTGTCCTTGAGAACATATCCACCACAGCAGTGAAGTACCTCAAACTTCAGGACGGCTCTGGAAGAGGTAAGAAACGGCTCTCCCTCAGGACCACCAGAAGATGACGACCCCTGACAGGGTACACCTGGAACACAGCCTTTGAGGCCCCTCTTTCAAAGCTCCCTGACAGGAACAGTCACAGCTCTGGGACAGGAGTCTCCTGTGTCCCTCTTTGCTAACACAACAGTAAAACTTCTTTTTCCTTTTTCTCAATCGTGTCCCCATTCTTGGATTGGCATGGGGGACAAGGACTGAGTCTCCAGTGACGGTTCCATACCTCCTCCTTAGTTCAGTAAATCTAAGTGTGTGTTTCCTGGGGCTTGTCCCTCCTTTCCCCGACTTGCTTTTGTTCAAGTGGGCTGCCTCTCTGGCCTTCGAGACTTTCTGTGCTAGTTTAAAAGCTGTGGTTTATAGACTTTGTATTTTTATTAGAGAGAAGCAGAGGCTGGAATTTTGCCTTGCACAGCTCAGACACCCACAGCCCTAGAACAGAGGTGGCCTTAGCAGGTGGCTGGTAAGCACGGGGAGGTGAATTTTATTGCCCTGCCCACTGTCCTGAGCCGTCAGACATGGGGATGATTTCCATGAACACAACAGAGGAGAGCTCTCCTCAACCCTCTTCGGTTTTCTGGTCTCCAGATGATGGAGATGTTTCTCCTGTCCAGGGCACCCACCCTGCCCAGGGCCCCCCTGGAGAAGAGCTGGGGAAGGTCCTCTTCCCTGGTGGCCAGGCCTCTGGTGAGGAGGGCTGGATAATAGGGTGGGCAGGCCACTACCTGCCCAGGAAGGGTTCCACCCTCCTGCTGGAGAAGGCTGGAGTGCAGCTTCTGGACGGAGAAGGGGGCTGTGCCACTGTGGCTTTATTCTCTACCCACCCCCAAGCCCCAGAAGAGCTAAGGCGGTTCATTAGTTAATATGATTCTCAAAAAAACCCTCTGTGACAATTAATCACCTTTCTGCCTCTAATGAGGACATGCCTTCCTGAGACCTGGGAAGGGGTGTGACTATTTCACCATGAAATCTCCAATTAGTGGGTGTTACAAGATTGTTTTACTAAACTGACACTTGTTATTTCTAACCTATAGACGCAGAGGGGGCACACACACAGCTGTGGAGCTGAGATGGTGTCTTCTGATGGAACCTCTTGAGTCACCAGGAAACACATGCTTTGAAAACCCCTTGGCTCCCGGAGTACACCCGCCGCGGAGCAGGAAAACGGCTGATGGAACATGAACAAGGAAAGAAAACTGCCTGCTGCACACACGTGCACGCGCAATCAGACATGCACACACATACACACGCACGCACACACTCATACACACGCGCACCCTGATCTTGGTTACTTAGCTCCTTGGGGGCTGAGAGAGAAGCTGCTTCCTGCTCACTCATTTGGGAAGCATGCTTGTCATTTAAGCGACCTCCTTGCTGGAGTTCGAGGTGGTGTTTATACACTTAAGGTGTCGCCGTGTTCACACATGACATTGCCACAGGGCAGTTTTCAGAACCAGGCCACTGATGCTGCTGTGGCATGGCTGACTGAACTGTGGGTTCTTGAACTTGGCTGTCCTCTGTTCTGTCTGGGATTGTGACGGGTTCTAGCACTGCCTTTCTGTCTGTTCTTCTGCCTCCCCTGCCTTGCAGGCAGCTCCTCCGCCTTTCCTGGCCTCTCAGGACCTCAACACTGGTCAACGCCCTGGGAAACGTCCCTTGACTTGGGTTTGAGTCACTTCCGCGGACAGGCACAGAGCTCATCTCACCTCTCAGGAGGAAGAGCCCTGCAGCTGGGAACCGGGAGGTGGGCTTGCTCAGCCCATCTGAGGACCTGAAGTCTGAACAGCCAGAGGGGAGGAGGTGAGGTGCAGGGGCCATGGGGCCAGATCACCTGGGCTCATGTCAGTCATCAGAGGACCTGGGAGAGGCCAAGGATGAGTCCCTCTGATTTTTCTCTTATTTATTTTTGAGGTACTTGGATCTGTGCAGGGCCTTGCCCATGGTGAGCAGATGCACCACCACTGAGCCACACCCCAGGCCTTGATCTTCTTTTAAAAGGACGCTGCTCTGGTTAAGGACAGACCAAGGCTGAAACAGGGCACGGTCCCGAGGTGACTGTGGGTGAGACACACTCGTGGCTTGATCTCAGGTGGTGATAGGGAGGACAGGGAGGTGGGGGTGACTGCATTTGGATAGATTTTGAAGGAGAGGGCTAGGACTTGCTGCTTAAGCAGATGCAGGGCAGAGAGAAGGCGAGACTCCAACACAGGGTTAGAGTGCGGGGAGAATGGGCAGCCAGTTCAACTGCTTTCATACGAACTGGTGGACTTTAAGTTTTGTAAACAGGACATGTGAATACAGTCAAGGTTGATCACAAGTGGTTATATTGAGAAGTTTTTAATATAGAGGCATTTAGGGACATCTGGAGTGTCCCAGGAGCTTTATGTGTTGACCTGGCCCCTCACCAGACCATGAAACCATATTCTCTGGAAGGGACTCCAGCTGAAGTATTTTCAAAGCTCCACAGACAACTGAAACAGCAGCCAAGGTTGAGACCACAGTGCTGGGCTCCTCCTGCTGGGGCACCTCCTCCTTGTCTTCCCACCCCGACTGGCCTCTTCTTGCTCAATTGCTGCTGTCCCCATTTTATAGAGGTGACTTGCCCAACATTCCAGTAACTAGAAGTGGCTGAGTGGGAGCTTCACTAACCCCAGCAAACCAGCTGCCCACCTGCCCTCCACTAGCAGGATGCCATGCAGAGGGTAGTTCTTTCAATACCAGATCAAAACCAACAGAAGCCAAATCCTCAGCCGTCTGTCCGAGGGATGTCTGGTGGTGGGGCTGGATGTACAGACAGATGACAGAGGCGAGGAGCTGTCCCCTCTACCTATTTTGGAAAATGGGGGTACCTCCTGCACAGGGCAGGGGCAGTCAGGCAGCCCCCTGCTCATCAGTGGTGGTAATAACAATTCATTGACAGGAATTTTTGGAGGATTAGTGAAATTTGGCAGGTGCTTGTGTCTCCAACACAGCACTCGCTTGAATCCCCAGTCTCGCCTCTGTGAGTTTTAAGCTCCCTTGGGAGCTGCCCTCTGAGGGTCTGATTCTGTGGATCTGAGGTGCAGCCAGCTCATCTGTGTATCCAACAAACATCCCAGGTGATCTGGAGGACAATGACCCATTGAGTAACCGAGCCGCGGCCACAGGAGAGGAAACTGGACGCAGCCCTGGGCTTGGGCTCCTGAAACTCGCCTGAGGCTGCCCACTCTTCAAATGGTGCTGGGGCCTCAGCCTCCTGGTCAGCTTCCCATCTGCCAATGTTCTCCACGAGCCTGGCCCTTATTTTTGGAAGCAAACTGCAGCCTGATCTTTCATTTTTGGCTTCTAGAGTGTTATTAATGAGCATCTGGCCAGAGTTAACAGATGTGATAACAACTCAGCCTTTTAAAAAAAAAATTTAACTTTGATTATCTTTTCCTTCAAGAACCAGTAATGTCACCCAGACTGTCTGGGGGAGAGGTGGGGCTCTCCCACACCTGGGCTTTACAAAAGTGCTTGAAAGGCAATAACACCAGGCAGGGCAGTGGTATAGGCCACAAGAAATGACAGCGTGCCTCTGGGGTAGGTGACATATAGGCAGTATTGCCATCTACAGGTAAAGGACACACACACACATACACTTTTTAAAAAGGACTAAATGTCATTTAAAACCCTTTCCACAGCTTATGCTTTCTGCATAAATAAGTACATAGTAAAATAGGAAACTATGGCCAGATGAGGAGGAACTCTCAGCATGTGCCATCTTTTCTAGGGTCTTCTCTGTTGGGGCTATAGTCAGTGCTGATGCTCACCAGACCCCTGGAGATCTGAATGACTCCACCTAGCTTCCAGACCAGGAAGCCAGGTGGTAAAGAGGTGGCCCGACACGGCTCGTTGGTTGTGGACTGTCCAAAGCTGCCTCTCTCCATAGCCCTGTGCTGCCTTCTGGTGCTGAAGGTCCACCTGTCCTGTGCTCCTGCCCAGTGGTGTGGCCAAGTGTTTGCTTCAATGGCTGCTGCAGGGATCTTCCTGAGTCCTCTCCTCTGCCAAATGCATCGCCCACTGAAACATCCTTCCCTGTGACACGCTTTATAACTCTTTCTGCTCCAAACCTCCTATCTGGGAACGAAGAACAACACTTGTTGCCTGTCCTCTGGCCACCTCCCAGCTCAGAGATTGTCTCCTCTCCACCTGCAACCAGGATTTGTCTGGGATCTTGTCTCCTGGAGCAGGGTTTCCAGCCTCGTGCAAGAGCCACCATCACCATGTGAGGCCCTCGAACCCTGCAGAGGTGGAGCCAGGGCCGGAGCCTGGCAGAAGCAGGATGCAACCCCTAAGAGAGGGATCCTGGGCAGACTGCCCTGGGCACAGAGGGCAGAGCATGACCAGGCTAGGCCGGGGAGGGCGGGGCCTCCAGAAGCCAGGAGACTAGACCCTGACGTGTGGATGGCTGGTGGAGACCTGAGGGTGAGGGTTAAGTGGTCCAACAGACGGCTCTTCATGATCCTTAGAGAGAAAGTGCAAACATTTGATGCTTTCTTTCCTTCTTAGATTTAAAGGGTTTCCTATTAGGTGTCAAGGGATGCTGCTAGCTCCACCTTATTATGTTTCTGGGCAAACCTACTGGACTTCTGTTCCTTTATTCATCTGATCAGCACAATCCAAGATAAGCTGTCATTGGAAATGGGATGAAGGGCCAGGGGTGAAATCTTGGACTGTTCAAGAGGTAGTTTCCAGGGATAAAGCAGATTGCAAATGTCGATGTGGGAATGAAATTTCTGCACACAAAATCTCCCCCGACCCAGCAACAACCTGCTCTGCACATGTGGATGGCAGAATTCCTGATGTGTGACATCCTGGCTTGGTCCCCTTCAATTTCCTTATGAGGGCATCACACCTGGATCCAGTTGGCACCTCCGAATTATTGAAGTGAATGTTATTACTTGGATAATCAGAAGCAAAAGTTATTCCTTAAAATAAATCCTTTTTCCCAGAAAATCCAAACCCAAACAGCGTTTCAACAAATCTCAGATCTTCTTTCATCCTGAATGTGAAGAGCAGGTGGTGTTGATATTTTGTTAGCATTTTGTCCTAAGTTTCTTGGCCACAGTTCCTCTTATTTTATTTTCTTGTGCCGATACTTAAGTATTGAGAATTCTTTCTTACAATGAAGTTTCCAGGTCACAGAAAGCCAGCGTTGATCAATGTGGAGGCTTAGGCTTTGAGGAGCTCTTGGTTAGGGCCCAACAAGGTGATCAGAATGGAATCGGAACCACCCACCGTGGGCCTTGGGGACGGAGGGCAACTTCCGATTCTTAGCAATTCAAGTATTTCGGTATCTTCTAAGGTGGGATTAATGACTAGTATTGAAATTCCCCCTGTGATCTCTTAGCATAGTGCTGAAATAGAGTTTGTGCTCACATTCTTTCTTTTTGGATTTAGCTTTTCCTTTCCACAGCAAGTTGCTATGAATAGGAACTCTCTGGGAAAACACTGCTGTTGAGAAGTTTGAAAGTCGGTGTGACCTCCTTTACATTTTCGTCCAATTCTGAAAGTTTATGTCAAATATTCACTGTGCAGAGAGACAGATATATTTGATAGTTCAGTGAGTTGTTCTGCCCCGAACAGTAATAATTTTGGATAACTCTGTGTGTAAAAAACACAGCCTGTGTTCACAGAGCTGACAGGATCTGCTAGGAAATAAATTTTAATTCCAAGGCAGGGCAAAGAAACTTTGTAGAAGAAACAAGAAGGATAATACATTGTGAAAATGAATGAACACTGTCTTGCAGCAGTCCTTGCAATGTCTCTCTCTTAAGCTAGAAACTTCATTGTTTAGGATATTAAGTATCATTAAGGAAAGCTCAAAGTAGGAGCACAAAATGATTTTTGCACTTTAAAAATATATTTATTTAGTTGTAGATGAACACACAGTGTATTTATTTTTATGTGGTGCTGAGGATTGAACCCACTGCCTCACACATGAGAGGCAAGCACTTTACCACTGGGCTACAGCCCCAGCCCCAATTTTTACACTTTTTGACTAAGAAGTTTTTTTCAAAGATAGAAGATAAAACTGAGGGAACATATAAGGGATCATTTCACAAAAATTATAAAAGTAAAAACCAGTTCCCAACCATATTATAAGCAAATTAACTCAGTTTACCTAAAGATGTATGAATTTATATGTAAGGATTAGCTAACTTCATCTGTGCCCAATGGACATCAACTGTTAAGGATCTCAGCTTAAAAAGAATTTTATTTTCCTAATAGGAAGGTCATAGCTGTGTCGAGTGGATGAATGTTTTTGTGCCAGGCATAGAAGGATGCCTAGACTCTCTTTTTATGCACGGATCCTTTTCTATTTCTAAAGAATAGAGATATCCTTTTCACTAATTATATGTAGAAACTTAACATGTCAAAGAAGAAATTGCACCAATCCTAAGTCAGAAAAACCACATCCATCTATTTTCAACTTAGGAGATTCCATTTAACCCATGCTCCATGTAGCCATTCTCCTTTGGGGTGACTTACTACACTGACATTTTTATAATGGTATAGGAGAGGCAGAATAGCTCCCTGAGGGTCTGGAGGAGCTTCCACTGTCAGGACACTGGTGTCCCCAGTCCCGCAATGGTATAGAGATGAGGATGTGTTAACCAGTATACGGACAGAGTAAAATTTCCTAAGATACCAAATGGAAAATCATCCAGACGTGTAACTGACTAGAGGCATCAAAAGACACAAATGCTATATTTTCATTGTCACAGTCCTTTGGATCATTCTCAACCACAAAAAGCAGGACTTCTTGAAATATTTCCAAAACCAACAGCTGGGAACAAGCATGTCATCCCCAGAGGCTGTGTAAGACCTGGCATGTTGGGGACTCTCCTGGAGTGTCTTATGAGTGAGTAAACTCGAGAACCACGGAGGGGGAAGGAGAGCAACAGAAGAACATTCAGTGGACTTGCTTATCTCCTGTGCAGCCTCTTCCAATTCATGGCTGGAAACACCTTAGTCAGAAGGAATTGCCTGTGGTCTCTATTTGAGTTCGTGGGCTGGGAATTCACCAGCCACACATCCAAGTACACACTGGGAGAACATCTGGAGTGCTGGGAGGTGGGCCTGGTTGCCGGGAGCCATTGTGGTGAAATGACAGCAGCATTTACTGCCTTACAGCAGCGATGGCATCAGTTTCTCCTGCTGGCACAGAGGCCCGACTGAGGGAAGCGAAGTGGTCCTAAAGGCAACTCCTGGGGCTCAAAGCTGCCTGCCTGCCGATGACCGTGCACAGCCATGGTGAAGAACATCCACCAGAGATCTGGTGTGCACCCTGCATGATGGTTCCTGAGGTAAGGCAGGATGCAAAGCCCAGGGAGCCCACCAGGAGGAGAGGGTCTGCTGCTTGCTCATCACTGTCTCTCCAACAAAACTCAGTTTTGTGGCCCAACCACCAGCCAGGTCTGTAATTATTTCTTTTATTTTCCAACAACCACAAAGGGTAGATTTTCTAATTTCCTTTCAGATATGCTGGAAATCAAGTGCACAAGACAGTTCTCTTTGCACTGAAATGGATAAGGACACCCGCTCACAGCACGGTCCTGAGAACTGAAGGAGAGGATGAGGGTGTCAGCTTCTCTTTCTAGAACTTTCATGTGCCAGGTACTGTGACATGCACTTTACAGACATTAATTGGCTCATTTAAAACTCATGAGCACTCTGAGTTCCAAGCAGTGAGCTCAGTGGTTGACGAGCAGGAAGGGCATCTGGGAAGGGAGATTCCACAGCCCCACAGCCCCACGATCTCCTCAGTGCATGGCCATGTCCACAACAGCCGGCATGCAAGAGCTCACCAAGTGTCACCTTTCCTCCCATCCCCAGAGAGAGAACATCTGAAGCAGCACAGGTTCCGTGGAAGACTAGGGACTTTTCCAGAGACCTTGGTGAAAGTCAAAGTCACTGGTGGAATGAACCAATTCTGGGGGCTCCAACTATCTTCACAAATAAAGCTCAGGACAATTTATTATTCATCGGGGATTATTCTGAAGTGACATGTGGAGAGTAGTGAAAAGATCAAAACACTAAAAAGATCTAAAATTCTTGATTCTTTTTTTGGTACCAGGGATTGAATCCAGGGGTGGTTAACCATTGAGCCACATCCCCAACCCTTTTTAAATTTTATTTAGAGAAAGGGTCTTGCTAAGTTGCTTAAGACTTCTCTAAGTTGCTGAGGCTGGCCTTGAACTTGTGATCCTCCTACGTCAACCTCTTAAGCTGCTGGGATTGCAGGTGTGTGCCATTGTGCCTGGCAAAATTCTTGGGGATCAAAACTAAATGGAAAGCTGACACCTCACCTGCCACTTGCTTCTTGCCCTGGTCACCAAAGTGTCCTGTGCCCCCACTCTGACTGGGCCTCCTGCAGGCTGTGTGGGGAGCAAAGTGCTCTCGGGTGCTCTAGGCTCCACAGTGGGCTCAGCCACTGATGAGCAAGCAACTGCCCTCAGCCGCACAGGAAGCCAGTTTGGACTCCTTGTCCAGGCCAGGGATCCTGAATGCTGGCTCAAGAAGCAGGACCCTGAAGGGAGCCCAGGCGCCACCCACCAGGTGGCTGGTCTGAGGAAAGGCCCCGCGCAGGGACTTTTAAAAGTTCCCCATGTGACTGCAACGGCACCCAGAGTTGACCACTGGCCTAAGCAGTAGGTCAAGTGGTCAAAAGATTTGACTCACTTCCTCTCTGAGCTCCCAGTACAACAAGAAGCTTCAGAGTGTGGGAAGAGACACAGTAAGTTCTGGGCCCAGCAGGGGAAGAACTAGTCACACTGGAAGTCGAAGGCGGCCTTGACCCCTGACTGGGCACCTCACAGGGCCTTCCGCCTGACCACACGGCTACACACTACTCCTTCCAGATGCTCTCTCTGGTGCTTTGCCCTTCATTTTATAAGCACCATGACCTTCTGTGAAGATCCCAGTGCAGGGAATGACTGTAACAAAAATAGCTCAGTGGAAATAGAAAAAGGGGGAATAAAAGAGTATCAGCAGCCTCATTTTCTGGGACAAGATTACAAGGGCCACCAGAGCGGCTAGAGCAGGGTGCAAGTGACAAGCAGCGGTTTGAGGGAGGCAGGAAAGAATTTCCCCCTCGGTGCTGGGTGGGATGGTCAGGTTCACAGAGGTCTGAAATGTTGGTGGACGCCCAGCTGGAGGTGCACCGGATCTTTACTGTTCCTACGTACAGAATGAACTATGGACCACCACCTGGGTCTTGCACCAACAGGGGCTCACGCCTATGGCACCCCTATTCAAGTAGAAGGACAGAGACATCCCAAAGACAGACACTGATGCATTTTGGTCTCCTCCATCACCGTTCCCTTCCCTTAGCTGAGGTAGCTGAGAATCTACCATTTTCCTTGCGTGGCTCCAGTCTGGCATTTGGCAGAGTGACGTTATCAGCTTCCAATCCCTCCGAATAGAACCTCATTCAAGTTCCACTGGCATAGAAATTACATTTGGCTTCCTGGACATCACAAATCCCAAGCATAACCCCCCATTTTAAAACATGCATTCAAGATAGGCACTGACTGTCAGTCAGACAGAACAGCAGAAAATGTCGGTGGGTGGAAATATCAGAAGACCACAGTGATGCGTGAAAAACAGACGAAATGCTCGCAAGAGGCCCTAAGGGAGCTGAGCTTGCTCATATCCAAATATGTGCATTAAAGGTTCAGTCATTGATCCCAGGTGCTATCACTTCACTTAGGAAATACTATTGAGCCCCCTCTACTGCCCCAGAACCAGGCTGGTCGGCAGGGTCAAGATGCAAGTGATAATGCCGTCTCTGTTCTGGAGCACGTGAGCAGTGGGAAAGACAGACGAGTACTGAGTCCAGGCAGCATATAGTCCAGGGTCTGATGGGCCACTGCTGCCGAAAGGGACTGCAGGAGCTGGGCCTCCAGCCCAGACCCGGTGAGACGCCAGGAGGATGCCCAGCAGCAAGGGACACACCC